GCCTTCCTGCTCCTCTGATGCTGCTTGGCCTGCTGTGTTCATCCAGCTCTGCACCTTGTTGTCTCTAATTTAGGCTGTTCTCCCAGGCCATCGCCAGAAGGTCTAAAGGATAAGTTTGTAAAGGTATATTATCATGCATTTATATACAGGTCAAGCGGTAATTAAAAATTAGCTTAAAGACAACTGTTGCTCTATTAAAGAGTTATTGGACAGGCATGTGTTTGGAATGTCACTACCGTCATGGCTGCAGGCAGGGTGTCTGTACCAGATACTTTATCAACCCCATCACTAATCTTTTGTACAGCTCATAAAAAGTAAGAGGATACAGCTGGGAATTCATAGCAATAACAATCCAGCAAGCAACAACGAGCCCCTCTCTATTTAACTATCACAGTGAAGCACAAATGGGGCACTGCATCATAATGGTGCTAGCCCTTTTAAAGCACTGCTACCTCTGCAAGGCACATTTGCCTGTCTCAGATGATTCAGCAATTCCTCACCTGGTAATATATGTCCACAGTAGCAACAGTTTTAGGAAACACTTATATGCAGGTTTGCACCTTCTTAATAGTTGACATACCAATCCATGGGGGAGGCAATGAATCAGTGATACTGTGACATGATTTAAATGTGCAAAGTTACTGTACTGAATGTGAAATCAGTCAGTGTTATTGTCATGAATGTGAAATAGGTCAGTATTACTGTAACAAATATGAAATAGGCCAAGGTTACTATAATGAACATGAAATGGGTCAGTGTTACTGTAATGTACATGACACAGCCAGGTTTTTCCTGTAATGAACTTGAAATGGGCCAGTGTTGCTGGGCCAATAGTGAAACATGATCATGTTTACTGTAAAGAACATGATATGGGTCAATGGTGCTGTAATGAACGTGAAATTGTTCAATATCACTGTAATGAACTTGAAATATGCCAGTGTTACCATAACAACTGTGAATTGAGATAATGTCACTGCAATGAAAGTGAACTGGGTCCACAATTATACCATAATTCATTTGAAATGGATCACTGTTACTACAACGACCTTGATGTGCATCGGGCTACAGTAATGACCTTGAAATGGGTTAATGAAACTATTAAAAGCTCGAGATTGGTCAATGCTACTTGCGGTCACGTACAAAACAATCCGTGTCCTTTGGCCCTGAGCAGCCGCCCGCACATTCCCGATGGCAGCAGTCGCTGACAAATGGGCTGAAGCATCGCTCGTCACACTGCTGTGCGCACACCGTCTTCGTGACTGCAAAGAAAACCAAAGTGGTAATCCAAAGCGGGGACACACCATTGTCAAACTTCCCTTTCAACAGAACATCCAACATTCAGCATCTGTTTTCTGCTGTTAAATTACAGGCACACTTTGCACAAGTGGAATGATTTCACAATACACTGGGAGCATGTCTTAGGAGGAGATAAATACGTTTAAATGTTTCCAATTAATCTTTCCTACACCTAGTTGCTGTATTCCCTATGGATTGGCAAAATAGCTTTACATGAAACTTTTTTTCATGAATCACTTTTTAACATTAAAAGCAAACTATTATTGAAAGCAAAGATGGGGCTTTTAGGAGATTGGCTCTTGCTCCTGTACTGTGCCCAAACATATTCACCATACTTAGACAAACCTCAATTCTATTTTTTGTACACAAATCTAAAGCACAAAATTTGTTTACTTGTAAGTAAAGCAAGACCATGGAAATTGTTGACAATTCAGGTGTCAGAAGCTGAAGAGATAAACATTCTTACTGAGAAGTGTACCGAGAATTCGACAGGAGAAAATGAACAAATCACTATGGGACCTGAAATTTAGCTTTGCAGTAACCAAGGTACACACCACACCCACACAGTGAGAGTAGTTAGCACGTATATTTGTTACTCAACTACATTTAGGAGGTCTTGTGACACATTCCTGCTTCATGGTCAGAGGCTCCATTCCAAGACTTTTTTTTTATATAGAATCCCCGTAGTGTGGAAACAGGCCCTTTGGCCCAACAAGTCCACACCAACCCTCAGAGCATCCCCTTATAATCCACCTAATCTACACATCTGTGAACACTATGGGCAATTTAGCATGGCCTATCCACCCAGCCTGCACATCTTTGGACGATGGGAGGAAACCGGAGCACCCGTAGGAAACCCACGCAGGCTTGGGGAAAACGTGTAAACTCCACACAGACAGTCACCAGAGGGTGGAATTGAACCCTGGTCCCTGGCGCTGTGAGGCAGCAGTGTTAATCACTGAGCCGCTGTGCCAACAAAGGTGCATTCATAATGCAGTCAAACAGGTGGAGTATCAACCTGTAAATCCCTCCAACAAACACCAATGGCAGGGAGTAAGGGCTGAACCGATCTGGTCAGCTACATGATGAAAGAGATGTTGGAGCCTCCATCATCACTATCTGTAGCTCCAGGCCACAGCAACAGGGAGATCTTTTGGGAGGTTCAAATGACCCGACAGCTGATGCGAATCAAATTGGTGCCAGCAACAAGGGGTTCAATCCCCATTCTGGCTGGGATTCAGGACCTATTCCCTTGCCCTACCCTGGTAGAGATCGTATTAGTCGGAGCTGCCTTTCGGGCAGGGAATCCATATATATGCGTGTATATATTACATATATATATATGCTTCTGCATTGTTGTAAAGTCCAACTGTGTAAATAAAAAGGCAGACTAGGTAAACTATATATATATATCCAATGTATATAACACAATGAGACCTGATGTACTGTCACAGCAGAACACTCTAACAGGAGGAGGCAGTCACTGAGCTTGCCGAATGACAGTGTGATATTATAGAGGAAGCAGAATAGTTCAAGCACACTTCTAGTAAATGGTCAGCTGGCTTGGAAATTGCTGCGCTCAATACTGATTCAGAGACTCACCAATCTAAAAGAGGTGCAGAATGTTCAGCTTCTCTGAATTGTGAGCCTGACCTGGGACTTAACTATATACTTTGCAGAAAAGCGCTGAAAACCTAAGACTAACTGTTCACAGCAGCTGAGATGGAGTTGAGGCTTCTAAAAGCATAATTAAAAAAATTGCAGTGAGGGTGCAGGCTGAGATTAGGCACTTTAGTTCTATGAGTTATCAGTGATCCATACCGCGTATTCTTCTTCCTTTTTGTGCCATGGGTAATGGAGGATTAATACTGCAATTTTCATTATAAGTGGGCAGTATTTTTACCATTACGAGCATCTTCTTCCATTTGCCTATTATAGCAAGCCAACTGACATATTGGTTTCTTTTCAATCTATAAGTTGATCTTCATTACATCCAGTTTTTCAAAATTGTTTCCAACATTTCCGTATGCTTGAGCTTCCGTGTAGTATCCCTGAGTGAAAATGCTGTTAATCTGCTGCTGCTGCTCAAAAACGTTTGGAGAGACAGGCTCTGCTTTAGCGACTTCCCCTTGTGGCAGCTTCTCAGAGGGCACAAACTTCCAAAGGTAAGCCCTTCGCAGTTGGTTCAATGAAGATTCAATGTGTTCTAGCTGAGGATATGGCACAGTGGAGGCCACTGTGATAACTTAATGAATGCTTTCAGGCACATTACAGTTAGATTTCTAAACTAAAATAGCAAAACTGCTTCTAACTCTCCTTTCAAATGATTACTAATGTGAATATCCATGTAAATAAACAGAGGCAAATGTGTACAAGTATGCATATGTTTGTGTACTTCGGTAAGTGCATAAACATAAATGCATGCATCAATACACATATATGTGTACAGACCATTATATATTTATGTATATATGAACATTAGAAATAGGGGCTGGAGTAGACTATCCGATCCCTCAAAGCTTTCTGCCATTCATTATGAGCATGGCTACATTTTGCCTCAGCTCCACTATCCCTTGTTTCCCTGGGAAATACATTTGCCTCAGCCTTGAACATACGTAATAATGGAGCACTCACAACCCTCTGGAGAAGCCAATTCCAAAGACTAACAACCATCCAGGTGAAGAAATTCCTCCACAGTTCAGTCCTGAATGGTCAGCCCTTTGTTGTGTGAGTGCTCCCCGGTGTTCTAGATGTCCAAGCTGGGGAAACAACATCACAGCATCTACCCTGTGTAGAACTCTCACCCCTTTTTCATGCAGAGGGTGGCTCGTGTATCGGCCAGTCATCCACTGGCTGGGTGCTTCAGCCTCAAACAAAGTAATGAAAAAACCAGAGAGGAATTCCAGATTGATATCTCAAATTCCAGAGGCTGAGGAGAGAAACCTCAATCTGAAGAAGGTAGGTGTTGGGAGCCTCTTCATACAAAACCGACCGACACATGGAACAGTCGCCGGGTAGGGTAGTGGACACTACTTAGGTGTTGCAATGGAAAATAAGACCACAAGAAATAGGAACAGGAAGAGGCCGTTCAGCCCCTTCAACCTGCTCCATTATTCAATAGGATCACGGCTGATCTGACATTCCTCACATCCTACTTTTCTGCTCTTTCCCCGTAGTCCTCGATTCCCCTACTGATCAAGAATCTACCTATCTCAGCCTTAAACATACACAAAGACTGTGCACCAGCCCCGCCACACTCCACCCCTACAACTCACTGTGGCAGGGAGTTCCAAAGACTCGCAGCCCTGTATGTAAATGTGAATTGGCTCTGGATGAATGAACTGTGCGAGGGCCAAACGGCCTTTTTTGTGTTCGCTCTCTCGTGACTGAGTGAAGCTTTAGTGTAACCACAATGAGACAGTTAGAAGTGAATTGTGGGAATTTACTTACAACTGGCCCATTGTTCCCACCAGGCCAAATTAACAAGCAGAAAAAATAGAGGGACAATTCTGGATACGCGGTGACAATCTATGAGATGACACGTGTTTTAGTTCAATTAGTCTTTGCAAGTAACAGTTACAAGTTCAATTCTGTTAATTGGCATGAGCAATCCGTCAAAGTTTCTCAGACCCCTCTCCGCCTTCCATTGCTATTTCATTCAGTCTGTATTTGGGAGAGGAATGAGAGAGTTTCACCCAGATCCTCCCAACTCAACGTCACGAAGAGAGGAAAGTAATTGTGATGCTGACCCCACTGAGAGGCAACTTATTTTTCAGGCTCCAGTGCGAGGCCTTGACTTAGTCAAACAGCCTGAAGTGATCAATCAATGACATTTCCAAATCTGAAAGCTCACATTTGGTGCATTTTATTATTACTGGAAAATTGATCGCATAAAATATCACAGTCCACATTAACGTCGGGACAATATGCAACGGGTTCGTCAGAAAGCAGCGCTGTATGATCCCCAGATAACTTGTGTGAATTTTCAATTGTCCATAAGCATAAAGGTCATAACGGAAAATAATAAAAATCAATGTAACCGCCGAACATACATATTACCATAGAAACACAAAGATTTCAATCAGACAGCTTCCTTATAGTGAAAGTGTAGTACTGCTCCCCATTGATCCAGCTTTTTGCTTCAATGATTTGGAAATCAGGTGCAGCACTAACAATCAGCTCCACTGACTGACTGGTTAAATAACAATCAGTCACAATGGCATGAATATCATCAGACCTGGAGCATTTTCAATCAAAATGTTTAACAGTTGCAACAATTTCTCGTCTTAAAAACACAACTGAAATCTATAGCTATTAGTCTAATACATTTTTTATTGTATTTTTCTGACATTACCAACTTTAATTTGATTAAAAAAGACATCACAAATGTGTCTGAAACTGCTGAGCAAGCACACACACGCACCAGGCTAAAAGTATCACATCTTTCATAGAGAAACTCATGACAAGCAGTAACAGGTGGGCTGAAATAAAACAGGGAGATGATAAATATTTTCAACAACTTGCATTGATATAGTGCCTTTTCGTGCCTCATGAAAACTTCCCAAGGCACATCTCAGGACAGCAATCAAACAGAAAGTTGATATCGAGCTGCATAAAGAGACATTAAGATAGCTGACCAAAGTATTAGTCAACGTGATGGTTGATAAGGGCCAGTCGAAAGAAAGCTTTAGGGAGAGAATTCTTGAACTTAGAAACTAGGCAGCTGAATGCACAGCCACCCAATGCAGTAGCAATGAAAATTAGAAACACTCATTTCACTAGATTTGGAGACATATAAAGATCAGAGAGGATCACGGTGGGAAGTTACAAAGGTAGGGAAAGAGAGACATTGGAGAGAGGAGAATTTTCATAATTGAGGCATTGCTGAATTGGATCTTAATGTTTCTAGTTCATTTCATCTAAGATTAGAAAAATGGTAATTGCTAGTTTTAGAGTCTTTATGAGCCCTCAAACATCATCCTCCTCCACCTCCACATTCTTTTAACAACTAAACATATACTTACCACTAGTTGCTCAGACCTCAAGGCCTGTCTCTGGACTGGGAGTCCTCTGGAGTTAATGTAGTAGGTTTGCCCCTGAGGAACTTGGAGGCAAGAGGAGGAGTCAGATTGGGTTGCTTCCCCAACCATGAAGAACAGCATAAAGGTACGAAATTCAGGTTTCAAGCAAATGGTCACAGGATCTAATTAGATATACATTTGGATATAGATACTTTGAGGATTGTGATATAGTGAAGAATGAGACGCAGGTAGAGTTGAGCTACAAAGAGAGAGCAGGATTATTCCCAATTGAGATTTTCTTGCTCCAAATACTGTACTTATTCATGCACTCTTACAGGAAAAAATTCCATTTGCAGCAAATCTTGACCACGAAGCATTGCCCTGATGGTACAAAAGTAGTTAGGGGCACTGTGCAAATTTTGCACCTCCCTCTCCCCACAACACACACACACAGTTCTATATTTATAATTGCAGATGTATCTGACATGGAAAAGGAGAATATGAGGATACAGATTATACATTCGCATTGTTCCACATTTTTCTCAGGATCTGACCTGGAAGAAATACACATTATAATGTGCAATATGGTTCACATGATGTAATACTGTGTTTGTGTAACAATTACTGAATGATTTTGCATAGAATTTACAATATCAATGATCAGTATGATAGAGTGGGAGAGATTAACTTATTCCCTTTGATATTATTTACTGGTTTACAATTTTAAAATATCCATGTTGATGCAGAGTCATTGAGTAATACAGCATGGAAACAGGCCCTTCGGCCCAAACTGGTCCATGCTGACCATGGTGCCCAGTCAGCTAGTTCCAAATGCTTACATTTGGTCCATATCCCTCTAAACCCTTCCCACCTATATACCTATCCAAATGTTTTTAAATGTTGCTATTGTGCCTGCCTCAACCACTTTCTCTGAGACCCCATTCCATTTATGTACCACTCTCTGCATGAAGAAGTTGCCCCTCTGGTCCTTCTTAAATCTTTCCCCTCTCACCGTAAACCTATACCCTCTAGATTTCAATTCCCCATCCCTGGCATTCATCCTATCTATCCCTCTCATGATTTTATACACTCCGGAAGGTCATGCCCCATTCTCCTTTGTTCTAAGGAATAAAGTCCTATCCTGGCCAACCTCTCCCTATAACTCTTACTAGTCCTGGCAACATCCTCTTCAATCTTCTTTGCACACTTTCCAGTTTAACAATGTCCTTCCTACAACAGGGAGCCCAAAGCTGTACACAATACTCCAAGAGTGGCCCAACCAATGACTTATACAACTATAACATACTGTCCCAACTCCTACACTCAATACCTCGACTGATGAAGGCCAGTATGCTAAATGCCTTCTTCACCACCGTGTCTTCCTGTGATGCCGCTTTCAACGTACTATGTACTTGTACTCCTAGGCCCCTCTGTTCCACAACACTCCTCAGGACCTTACCACTTACTGTATAAGTCCTACCTTGATTTGACTTTCCAACATGCAACACCTCACACTGTACAAATGTGCAAAACTGTAACATAAGCAGAATGAGGAATATCACATGAAACTTTGGAAAACATTGTATGAAAACATTGTATGGAAACCTGTGTGTGCAGGTGCATACCAGCAGGTCCTGTTCATTCATTCCCACTGCTGAAGTCTGCTTGTTCACTTATGCAGTCTCATGAATAGTTCATTCAGTTTTTTGCTTTCCTCAAATTTGACCACTCAGCCTAATTTGCCTCGTGGCTGCAATGGCCCTGCCCATTATGACACGCAGAGAGGCACCCAGGAGTTCTCACGCTTACCATGACTACACAAACAGAACATTTTACCCTTTACCTACTTCCTAGCTTTCTGTGCTCTGACAAAGTCTGGTTATGCATGTTAACAACAGATGCTGCTGAGAATTGTAGACCCTTGTCATCCAGAACTCTACACTCAGCAGAAAACAACGAGGACTGAATAAGGGGAACACTATCTGCTTTGCAGGATCGTTACAATATTGAAGGAGGCTATTCGGCCTGCTGTGTCCGTGCTGGCTCACCCTTAGCTCATTGGGGAGCATTCTCACCATTAAATTAAATGGTTATGGGTTGAAGCGTCAGTTCTGAATTTAAGCACAGAGACTAGGCTGATATTCCAATGCAGGAGCAATGAAGTGCTGCAATATCGGAGATACCGTCTTTTGTGTGAGACATTAAACTTGAGCCCTCTGATTATAAAAGACCCCATGGTGCTTTTTGAAGAAAAGCCTGGGGGTTCACTGGTCAATTAGTTAACTACTATTGGTTTCTCTACTTTAGAATGATGACTGCACTTCATTGGCTGAGTGTGGACAGGAATATCATACTGTTTTGAAAGACATTAAGCACAAATAAATTATTTCTTTTCTGCTGTGAACTGAATTTCAACCTGGTTTAATTCAATACTGACAAGTTGACCCAGAGGTATGGTATGATGGTGCCTTGTTGGGATACGGTGAAGTTTGGAAGGGTGCAGGTAATTCCCCATACATTGTTCAATGTGATCCTATTGTGGGGGCAGAGTGTAAGAGGTGGGAATGCACTAAATCAAAAAGGTAAATCAGACTGCTTCACATCCAAGTAATAAAAGGAAGTTGGGCAAACATGCCTTATCCAACCTGCTGTGAGAAATGGATGGCATTGGACTTGCTGTGTGAATAGACTGTGAAACTATAAATGGTAAACAAAACTAACCATTTTCTTTAAGCATTTAACAGAATGCTATCTCATGAACATGCGTTTGAAGAGGGATTGGATGTAGTACATTCTGTTTCCAATTCTGAGGACGGGTCACCAGATCCGAAATGTTAACTCTGTTTTCTCCTTCACAGATGCTGCCAGACCTGCTGAGCTTTTCCAGCAATTTTGTTTTTGATCCTATTTCTATGTTGGTGGCATATCTACTGACAGCCGTGCTTTCAGAGGCAGGGTTCTGTTATACGTGACCATGTCTCCAGTTACAGAGAAACAATCTCAGGAGATATCTGCCTGGGGTAATTGCTGTCCCTCACTAGCCAATGTCCTGGCAGAGCACAACAAGCCCAACTTTCTTTCGATGCCAAATTTTATACTTGTTTCTTCCCTCGGCAGACATCAACCAGCTGTTTTTCTGATTGACAGGAAGGTTTGCAGCATTCATGGATGTCTTCTTGGCTGAGTACCTCCTTTCCCAGCCAAATAATCCCCTACTGAAACTGTAAAATCTGCAAGTTTAAGGGTTTCAGAGAGTGCAGGGGAAGCTTAAGGACAGCAAGTATCTACATGGTCTTGTTAAAAGAGGGAAATAAAACTGTTGGATCAATTGACAGGGAATGCTCATCACAGATCCTGATATCAGAACAGGGGGTAGGGGAAATAAATTTGCTTTTCCATCACCTTGAAGTAAAATCAGATTTCCCAGCCTCTCTCAGAGTAGCGCTGCAACTAATAATGCAACAGCAAAGAGTGGAGGAATTCCTTTCTAAAAAATGGTGCAGAACATCTGAAGGGTAAGTATTTGACACCAAGAGTTAGCTGTCCCTAGTTAGCTGTCTCTCCATCCCACATGAAATGCTAAGAGTGAAATTTACACTGGGGGGCAGTCAGGCAGATTGTGCATCATTCAAACGTGCTAACGGTATGTTTTACAGTAAGATACATCCAAGTAGCTTATATTTTTCATAACAAAATGACCCAAGATTGAAATGTCCAGCCTGGTGATGTGTATGTGCATGGATAGCCAGCACTGACTGAATTAAATCAATTATTTTAATAGATAAATTTAAAACAAGCATCTTAAAATACAAAATATACCTAAAAATGTACTGTTACACAAACACTGCCTTTGCACAATAATGTAACAGTCATTTCTAAGATTCTATTTTTGGATCATTAGTTAAATTCTTGCATGCTATTTTAACAGTCACTGCACATCTTAAATGGAGAATTAGAGTTTTTTCAACTGTTAGATCTACTGAAAAATGTTGCCCATTGACGTGAATGCTAGGTTTGATTTGTTTTCATTCATTTTGGCTAACACAAGCTCTTTGAGAAAATAATTCATGAAATCCTTACATACACACAATATTTGCCTCTTATCACCCAGTCCTCACCACTTGTTCAGTGTTTAAATCAATTGAGGCTGCAGAACCAAAGATGCCAAATTACAAAGCAAACCCCTGAGAATAAATAAAAATACTCAGCTGGTCACTTGTAATTAAAAACAGACAACACATCCAGCAAAACTGGGTCACAGGTCTGATATGTTAGCTCAGTTTTTCTCTCCAAGTTTCTGCCTGACTTCTCATTTCCACTCTTATTTCAAATTTTCAACATCCACAGTATTTTGCCTTTGCCCAAAAAAGAGATTATTTGCATTTGATAAGGCTGCTTGTTCATTGTCAATGGTATGTATACATCTGACCGGTCAGTATGTCTACATGGCCATACAAACACGTGCATTGACCATTTGTGTCAAATGGCCTTATTTTATGCATTGGTTCAATTAAACCAAAAAGTGTTCTTGCAATTGCATTTAACAAGTCATATTTAACTCGTGATTAAAAGTCAAGAGTACGTGAACAAAGGATATCTACGGGCCCACGAAGTAAATGCGTCTTGACAATATAATTTATGAAAGATACTCACGGGTCTGACATTGGTTCTCCGATGGTCCCCAGCATCGGCCATTGCATGTCTTGTGGCATCTCCCACCTGTACACAGTAACCACAATTATGCTAAGTTAGTACAGTCTAATACTGGCCTACCTTACAATGGTGAAGACATTTCAAATTTGTTTTCAACTATTATAAATCCCAGGATGTGGACATTGCTGACAAGGCAAATAATTGCTATCCATCGTAGAATCATAGAATCCCTACAACGCAAATACAGGCCTTTTGACCCATCGGGCCCACGCCACCCATCCGAATAGCATCCCACCCGGACATACCACTCCCCGACCCCGTAACCCAGCATTTATCACAGCTAACCCACCTAGGCTACACATCCCTCGACACTACAGGGCAATCTAGCGCGGCCAATCTACCTAACCTGCACGTTTTTGGACTGTGAGAGGGAAGCGAAGCACCCAGCGGAAACCCATGCAGACACAAGGAGAAAGTGCAAACTTCACACAGACAGTCACCCAAGGTTAGAATTGAACCCGGTTCCCTTGCGCTGTGAGGCAGCAGTTCTAACCGCTGTAGTGCCATGATCTTAATAGATCATAACCTGTTTCTGAGAAGATGGGTAGTGAACATTTTTGCTGAACTGCTGACCTGTGTTGCAGGGTTTGCCTCACAATGCTTCTTATTGTCTCAATGTTATATAAAGAATAAAGCAGGAGAGAATGCTTTCAGACATGATAATAAATGGAAATCTTGCACAAATCAGAGAAAACTGAAGATGCTAAAGCTCTCTTCTCCAGAACAGAGGGCTGAGAGAGATTTATAAAGCTCTGAACAGACTGATAGATTAGATGTAAGCAAATTGTTTCCACTTGGGGGAGTCAACAACATAAACATAAGATACTGATTAATAAATTCAATAAAGAAATTAGGAAAACCACCTTTAGCCAGAGAGTGGTCAGAAGGTGGAGGTCTTTGCCTTCGGGAGTAGTTCAGTCAAATCACATAAACAGATTTTTAAAAATTGCAGATATACATCAGATTTTACAGTCGCAGGGAGACATTGGTGCTTTACAGCCAATAAACTACTATTGAAGGATAGTCACTGTTGTAATATAAAAAAAAGCAGCCAATTTCTACACAGCAAGTTCCCATGAACCGCAAAGTGATAAGTGAGCTGGTAGTCTGCTTTTCGTGATTTTGATGGAGGACAAAATATTAGGCAGCGGCACCAGGGATAACTCCCCTGCCCTTCTTTGAGATATTGCCATGGCATCTTGTGACAGCAAACAGAGCCTTTGTTTAACACTTCATCCGGGAGAAGGCACCTCCAGCTGTGCAGAGCTCCCCCAGATACACCCATGAAGCAATAGAAGGACAAGCGAGGCTAAATGGCCTCTGCGCTGTACAATCCCTGTTATCCTGTGAACCACTTAGTGACAGCCTGACTGTACAAAAGGCACAAAATAAATACAGGTTGGTTTCTTTGTCCAAATGTCTGCTCTTTTGGGATATGTATATTTTCTGAATTGGAAGTATTATGAAGGATCAAAGATTCTCCACACAAACAAACAGCCTGCATGTAGAGATTTTGTTTTTAAATGCCCGGCAAGAAATTAGTGTCTGTATATCTGATCAGATCACACTCATTGATTTTCAAATGATGAACCTAATGTTGAGGTTAACCCTGAACAATGTCCTCACGGAGCCACGGAACATGTGTTTAAATGGTTTCGGAATCCAATAAAACCTCAACGATAAAAGCCACAAGCATGGCTTGTAATGTTACAGCATCTTTTGCAGAGTGGGACATTGGCCAGTGGTTTAAAGGCAGGAGCCCAAGGAGGTGACTTCCAGTAGGAAGAGGGAGAGGAGGAGCCTGTGATAAATTGGATCATTCTTTCAAAACCAGGCATACTGTTTCTTGACAATTGGTCCACGTCACGTCAGAGCACGGCTTCAGTCGTTCAAATAATGCTTCGAGTAACATGTTAACGGGTGCTGGAATATTTGCCAATATTTTCTGTCTTGAATCTGTTGGTTGATTGTGGGATCTGATTCCACAGATACAGCAGCAGTCCGATGGCTTTCCGAGCAGTCATTCTTTGTGCAAGGGCCTGGAGACCAAGCATTTTGAAACTTCCAGGCTGCTTAACTCAGATTGGCAAGAGAAGGCCCCATCATTGCAAAATTTGGGGGAAAGCAAACTAAGGCTGATTTTCCCCTCGTTGGTCAGAGCATTACAACAATGGGTTATATTATTGAGAATTAGAAACCCTACACAAACTGGGGTGGAACCACTCGATATAATTCTGTATTTTTTACCTATTGTAGTGCATTGCTGAAGAAAATCCTTGGGAGAATGGTCTTACTAATGCAGCACTTCATTCAACCAGCGGGTTTGGCATTGTAGATACTGTCAGGTTGCTTCCCTTGGCTGGGGCTTCTAGAACCAGGGGTCATAGTCTCAGAAATAAAAGGTCAGTCCTTTAGGACTGAGGCAAGGAGAAATGTCCTTAAGCAGGCAGTTGTGAATTTTTAGAAAACTCCACCTCAGGGAGCTGTTGTAGATCAAGATGGAAATTTTTGAACACCATAAGACTCTAGGAGTTTGTGAATAGGGCACAGAAAGATCAATCATGATTGCACTGAAGAATTCAACAAGCCATGTGAGCTACTTTGTACATTCTATCAAATGCATTCATTATTCTAGAAAATGGGCACGCTAGCTAAACTGGCTCCATTTCTTCTGTTTTTGCAGGACAGGATGCACATCTAAGGGTTTCATAAAAGCATTGGAAAAAGGTTGAAAACGCTGACCAAAACCAATCAACCAAACCCCAAATCGTCATGTTGACAGATAAAAGTAAACTCTCCTGTACTTTCTCGCAAGCTTTTTCTCGGTGATGATTTAACATACTCCTTCAATTTCCTAAACCTAAACAACAAATGTGCGGCAATTGTTCCCAAGCAAAGCCCAGCTTGTGAATGCCCATCATCTCTAGGATGTATCAATAACAATCTGTTCATCAGAGTTTAATCTGTCTTCCTTTTATACCAGGCCTCTGGGGAAAAAGCTCAAGGAGCAGGACTAATTAGCTAGCTCTTTCACAGAGCCGGAACAGGCACAAAGGGCTGAATGGCCCCCTTCTGTGCTAAGCGATTCTTTGATATAGATATCTAGTTACACCAGATAAAAGCAGGCCGCAGGGGTTCAGCGTTAAAAAAGTCACAGACCATCCACCGTGCATTTGTCTACCCTAGGACACTCTTTTTCAGCTGTTGCTCGCTGCAGAGGTTTGTAGAGACTTGCTCTCTTTAGGGTCATTCTTTTCCCCTCACTTCTCTAAAATGATATCTCAGTTGTTTGATGGGTTCAAAAGGTTATTGCTGTAATTACATATCTTGGCCTTGTTTAAGTGTCACGTTGTTGCTGCATTAGAGTTCATTTGAGGTAATTATCTCTGCAAACTACGGTTGGCTGGCATCGCTTGTGTATAATTTGCTGTCATTCCACACCATCTGTTTATTTGTACCACGCATGTATAAGTTGCTTGTTCAAAATACATTTTAATGTACTTCGCAGGAAACAAAGACGTCTTCAGTTACTCTTGTTCTCTTTTGAATGGGCTATCCTTCTGATAATCGCAAAACAAAATTGGCAATAATTTTAGCTGGTAGAATAAAAGTTCTCAAACAAAACCACACAATGGCGTCTGTTCAATGTACTCAATACTTTTCTGGTAAAACATTCCTTCTGCCTTTCCTGCTTTCTTTTCCTGTCCACGCCTTGCAAATACAATAAAACCATAAGACCATAACAGATAGAGCAGGATTAGGGCATTCGGTCCATCAAGTCTCCTCCATCATCTGATCATGGCTGATATATTTCTCAATCCCATTCTCTTGCTTTTTCCACATGACCTTTGATCCCCACTGATCGAGAACCTATCTATCTCTGTTTTAAATACACCCAATGACTTCACCTCCGCAGCCTTCTGCAGCATTGAGTTCCACAGATACGCCATCTGCTGGATGAAGAAATTCTTCCTCATCTCAGTTCTAAAGGCTTGTCCCTTCACTCTGAGGGTGTGTCTCAGGCCCTAGTCTCTCCGACCGGTAGAAACATCTCCTCCATATCCACTCTACCCAGGCCTCTCAGTATTTTGTAAGTTTCAATCAGATCCTCCCTCATCCTTCTAAACTCTATTGAGAACAGACTCAGAGTCCCCAACCGCTCTTATATTTAAACTCTACGGAGTAGAAAAGCTTACTCAGATCTAATTGGTGTCCAATCCAATTTCTTGCCTTTCTGCAATAGAAGAAAACCAAGAGTTCCTTTTGTATTTTTTTATTTTAATCTACTCATGCAGCCAATCTTGAGGACATGTATCAATATACATTAAACCCCCTCCAAAGTCTTGCCATGACACATTTCTTTGCCCTGTTCTATGCATTATTTCAATGCATTCAACTGCATCTGCTACCTAACTCCTCATTCTGCTGGCCTATCCATATCCTTTTGCTCTTTTTCCCTGCTCTAATTATAATTTAACTGTTCTAATGTCAATATATCCAACTTTGTTCTCTTAAACTCTCAGCACACATTGTAGTAAATGAAAGTTCCTGACCTTCCCCCCACCCCCACCATCTCACCCCAGCCCTGTACGCCGTTTTACTGTGGTGGACTGCTCACAACATCTTTCCAGCTGACGTAAAATCCTTTAACCTGACAATTTTCAGAGCTGTGAAACACTACACTACATAGCATTCTTTATACAGAAACCTATAAAAGCTTGCTTTCTTTGTGAGAATATGGTGCCCATTAATTCTTTAGCCATCTTCCTTAACAGGCAGGTGAGATTCATGGAAACTTCTGCCTTAGCATCTCTTGCAAACTCAGGATGTTCCAATTCTCTGTCAGCTGCCACATGGTATTCCAGTGAGTATGGCTAGTGGGTCGATCGGTGCAAGGATATTCTCAATTGTCTTCCTCCATTCCAGCTCTACCTTGTACATTAAACAAAAAAAAATTTCTATTCCTCAACTGGCAGATTATGCCACAGGCAATTCGCTTGTAAACTCGTAAAATCAAACAGGTTTTCAATAACTAAATGTACAATCCTATGAAAAGGAGAAATATTCAGAGAAATTTAAGGGTGACTGGAGATGAAGCTTTCGATCTGTGAAGGCCAATTAAAAGGTGAAGCGGTGGGAAGAATGTTTGTTCAGATTCAAAATAATTTGAGTGTTTCCCCCGTCATCATCTGGTCGTGAGTCTAAAATGACTATTTCATTAGGTTCACGTATGAGGTGCACTCGAACGTTCACATAATTCGAATAATCTATCACCTGTCCCAATTATTCAAACTCCATATCCTGCACTTTATATGTTTCACTTCAGCACTTTGATCAAATTAGGATAATAAGAACAAGGCTCAGAATTGAAAAACAGAGTACAAATTCGGTCGTATTTTAATTGTTTTTGACTTTCCGAAAGCAAGTCATCCTCGTGAGAGTTAGAATGCATTTGCCACATATTCCCACTAAATGTCAGCTAAGTTTAGTAAACAGCATTCCCGATTTTTAATAATAGCTGGTCATATTCTCACCGGGATCCACTGTTCATTAGGACAGCACACTTCAGCAGTCAGCTCCAGAGGAGCAAGGCAGCCAATGGCTTTGACCTTCCTGTGGTAAGGCTGAATATGAAATATGCCTCTTGTGTTTCACTAATATGTCAGAGCTGTTGTGAAATGATTTCACCCCAGCGGGGAATTCACAAGCCTTATTCAGCAATAACAGCTGTAACCATAGATCATGGAGTGTTAATTAATGATCTCTAATTACTTATCGGGAGTCTCAGCAGCAAATTCATATTCATAGCATTGGATGGCTGCATTAGACAACTGACATGAAAAGCAAGACAGTCCATCCATACTTGAAGCTTTTACCCCATGTTACTTCAAATACACTGAATCTTTTTTGTTTTGGAAAAGGAATGCATACGGCAGTCTCATTTCAACTATTTATGCCAAGTCTCAAAGGACCAGCACACAAATTGGGCTTCTGACAATTAAACAGAGTTGGATCCAAATTGGCTCACTTACGCTCTTTGTTTTAATGGACTTCCCAGCTGAGAAATGACCCCAACTGTTATTCCTATTGCATTGCTCATTGCTGCTCAGTGGGATCCCAGGAATGGCTCCTGTTTGAAATTTTTACAAAAAGGAAAGCAACTGGACTGACAGAAAGCATTATGTTTACTGAGCCTTCCTTGCAGGGTTCTGTGGGATACTTATTAGCATGCTTTGCAACCTTGTGATTAATCATTAATATTTCATTCTCTGCAAGAATTCTCTGAACACTCACTGACAATTTTGGCGGGTCCATTACCATCCCTACATGGGATCAATTTCCCCTTGAAGGAACCAATGCTTTTTCTTTTAGTTTTGTAAGCATGTCTGGATTCCTCTTTCATTTTCAAATAATACCCATCTTAGAGGATAGTAGTACAGGTTATACAGAAGTGTGATCCTATTCATTTCCTGACACAGAAGAAAGGCCAGCAACCCTGCAGCATCGTTCCTGTTGTACCATTGAATGGTGAGCTGCTACTTTGTATTCATGCACACAACACACTCTTGGGCTTGAATGTGGCCTTGGCCTAGCAGTAGATGTGGGCGACCAACAAACTAATTTTTTTTTAACTTCATCTCCAAGCAGCAGCAAAGAGCCAACATAAAAGTCAATTTCACAACCAGCCACTTCAGGGCTCGAGCTCTGTCTTTGTAAGGTGACAACCAGTAGCAATATTGAAGAAATTCTATCCTGTTGTAGATGACCACATTGCGATAAGATGGTAAAGCTAGATCCTATCTACTGGTTGTCGTGCTCATCATTAAAAACCTCACTGCTTGAAGAAGAGCAAGCCATAGCCGTCTCCAGCTGGCCAACACTTTTCCCTCAACGAATATGTAAGTTGATCGATAATACATCCAATGGGATGATGGAGATTATCACATCTACATACAGAATAATCATGTTACTTCAAAGTAATTTGATGTGTGTGAAGTGCCTGGGATGTTTCTGATAGATGTGACATCAGTCTATGAATAAATGCAAGCCACTCTATCAATACAGTGCTGTCAACTGATATTGCTGACAAGATATGGGAACGAACAACTTAGCCAAACTCACGACATTTAATATAAAACTGCATTTTCCTGGCTACTGGAGTACTCTCTCTATCTGACGACACCACCCTCAGGGCACAAGTTAGCAGATGATGGGTGCAGCTGAAACAACTCTCAAGAAATTCAGCACTATCAAAGGTACAATAGTTTTTTTTTTATCAACAGCCCAAGCAACATCTTCAACATTCATTGTCAATACAGTGTGGCGCTGCAGGAACACAGCAGGTCAGGCAGCATCGGAGGAACAGGAAAGTCGATGTCTCAGGTTGGAACTGATGAAGGGTCCCAACCCGAAATATCGAATTTCCTGCTCCTCTGATGCTACCTGACCTGCTGTGTTCTTCCAGCTCCATATTGTATTGGACTCTGACTGCAGCATCTGCAGTTCTTGCTATCTCCTTCAACCTTCATTCCCTGCACCACCAGTGCACCATGGCTGCAGTGTGCACCTTGGACAAGATGGAGCAATTACCGCAGCATTTTTACAGTACCTTCCAAACCTCCGATTTGTACCACTGTCCTTCAAAGTTAAACATCATCCTAACTTAGAAAAACAAGATTATTCCTTCAGTGTTGTTAGATCAACATCATTGGAACGCACAATCTAACAGGACCGTTGGATTTACTCGTGCCATACATTGTGTAAGACGTCAGCTACTGGCACCCACATCCTAAGAATAAATTGTAATCATCGAGACTACTTCACATACACTTACATAATGCAAGGAGATGGACTTCACGTGTAGATTTCACACAACAAATATGAAACACGAACAGGAAGAAACCAGGTACAACAATGAAAAAAAGTTACTCATTCTGTCTTCACTTCATTAAGAAATGCACAAAAAGATCAAAATAAAAATGAATACACAATCAAACTGGCATCTTAAGATTACATGTTGAATTACAGTGTCAATTACAAATTTGGGCAGCATGGTGGCTCAGTGGTTAGCACTGCTGCCTCACAGCGCCAGGGACCCGGCTTCGATTCCAGCCTAGGGCTACTGTCTATGTGGAATTTGCACATTCTCCCCGTGTCTGCGTGGGTTTCCTCCAGGTGCTCCGGTTTCCTCCGACAAGTCCAAAGATGTGCAGGCTAGGTGGATTGGCCATGCTAAATTGCCCATAGTGCCCAGGATGTTTTGGTTAGGTGGGTTAGACATGGGGAAATCAGGGGTAGGGGAATGGGTCTGGGTGGGATGCTCTTCGGAGGGGCGGTATGGCCTTGTTGGGCTGAATGGCCTGTTTGCACACTTGTAGGGGTTTTATGTTCTATGGTTCTTTGATTAACTAATCAGAAATGCAACCTTTAGCATTTGAATTGCCACTTTGCCACATGTTACAATTGTCTAATATATTGGATACCACTGCTCGACAGTGTCTAAAAACAGGATGAAATAGATTAGTTTGAACAAGGTGAATACCAAGGTAGATCACTAAGTTTCACCTTCTCAAGGTCAGTGAGGGATGAGCAGCAAATGCTGGCCTTGTCAGTGCTGCTCACATGCCATGAAAGAACGAAAAGTGGTCATCAATCACTCACAAGCATGAGGGCACCAGTGTTGATTCCCAATTGGACAATCCCATCATGGTGTGACACTCACAGGAAAAAAGAACCGGTTAGCAAAACCTAGGTCCTAAAACATTGAATTTCCATCTGTTAACATTAGACAGTGGAAAATGAGGTTGTTGTGGGGTGTGATTCTCCAACCAGTGTTTCCTTCAGTCTCAGTCCTCAATTGTGGAATCAATCAAGAGTTTGTTTGGTACAAAATGGAACTTTTGTGAAAGTCACCTTCATGTCCATATCCTATCTGAACAGAAAAGTGAAAGATTGTTACTTACACTCCACGGTGGTGTTGGTGGGAACAATTATAATATCTGTACTTGGTGGGTCACGCACAATATCTTGCCAATGAATAGTGTTGACATAGCAGAGAAATTTGTTCTGGTCAATATAGATGCCTCCATTCAGGATTTCTGTAGAAGAACAGAACGCAGGATTGAAGATATACTGCAATCAATAAGCACATTGTTTTTCATCACTGGGTCTAATTGGGCCCAACCCTATCTTTCCCACCTCTTGCATGCTACACCAAAAGCAATAAGAACATTTTAAATGTTGTTTCTTTACTCTTCCATAGGACATTTCCAACTGCTTTACCTTATTCATCTTGGTTGAGGGTGCCCTGGTATTTAATGCACTTTTATGTATTGTGCCATGATGAATGAATGGCAAAATACTACATAAAAATGTCTTTGGGAAAATCAAGGGGCTGAACAGGCATCTGTTTTACATGAACAAAATGTTGCAGTGGGGCCTGTAGTTTGCAGCGCAACTGGACAGCTCAGTAAGCCACCTGACTTACAGACTAAGACTTAAAATGATGACCATCAATCTCTTCATATCTTCTTCTGTAACACTCACAGAGCTTTTCAATAGATGTAGTAGGGTTCTTTGGGAACTTATATGGTGATGCAGCATTGAAGAGCTTCTTGAAGAGTGTCTGTAAAGAAAGGGACTCAGCCCACAAGAGGAAGGCTTACGTATGAATATTCATATGAATTATGTATGAACTGTAGTGAATTTTTAATCTTATTCCACTTCCAATAGCCTCAAAGCTTTTGTTATGACAGCAAACTTATTACTTCTATTTTGTGAAGTCATGATTTGGAGTAAAGAATATGTTTTCCCCTTCCGATATGAAACCAAAGCACTGGGAGCCCATATCAGGATCGAGTGGGCCCACTCCCTGTTGGAAATCATGGACAATGTGCCTGCATTAAGCTCTTCTCATGACTAAAAGGCCATGATAGGAATTCTCCATTCAGATATGTTACCTCAAGTGGCAATTTTTACCCCTTCAAGTTATCCTGACTTTTCTTCTAAGGTCACTGACTTCTGGTTGTGCCACTCACCTTTATCAGAGCGGTAGTCTTCATGTGTGAGTGTGGGTAATGTTGCCAGGGTACCGGACCAGGGTTCACACAAGAAAACCAAACCCGTCCTATTCCAAAACACAACCGCACCTTAAACAACTACAATTAATCTGACTTCCAGCCGTGAATATCCTGATCTGTGCTCAACAAGTGAAGATCTGTAGTGGAGGGGGACAGAAATGAGTTCACAGAAGATATCCTCATTGACTGTCAGCCATGGGTCAACTGGGAGCACTTTCACCTATTAGTTGGATTTCAATAAAGGCTGAAATATCAGTGCCTTACTGAGGGATTGCTATACTTCCTGAGATATCATATTTTAAGATGATGTTACACTGAGGCTACATCACTGAACCATTAATCACTTTTGTAAAGCCTGATTAACAAAGGAAAATGTCACAAAGCACATTATAGGAGCATATCAGGCCACATTTGACACCAAGAGAAACAATGATGAGAGGTGACAAATAGCTTGCTTAAAAAGCTTGGTTCTAAGGAGGACCTGGATAGATAGAATGATAGAGTGGTCGGTACAATTCTAGAGCTTGGGGCCTAGGCACCTAAAGGCAATGGAGTGATGAAAATCACAAATGTGCAAGAGATTTCACCATTAAGTGACCGGCACTTTGACTGAATTAAGTTGCTTCCTTCCTAGAAACCCTGCAGTGCAGACAGAGGCCATTCAGCCCATTGAGTCTTTGCAGCCCCTATTAACGAGCATTCCACTCAGACCCAGCCCCCACCCTTTCCCTATAACCCTGCATTTCCCATGGCTAATCCACCTAGCCTGCACATCCCTGGGCACTATGGGTAATTTAGCAAGGCCAATCCACCTGTCTTGTGCATTTCTGGACTGTGAGAGGAAACCGGAGCACCCAGCAGAAACCCACTCAGACATGGGGAGAATGTGCACTCCACACAGACAGTCACCCAAGGCTGGAATCAAACCTGGGTCCCTGGCACTGTGAAGCAGTAGTGCTAACCACTGTGCTGTCCTGCCATTACCGTTTTCTGACCTCTGACCAGCTAATTCAGGATTGAGCAGGGATTGAACCAGGGCCCTGCCTGCAACAGTTCCGCTCAGTTACTCACTCGCAGCTATTGTGCTGACTGACAGCTGCAGGAATTTCCAATATTTAGTACAAATAGTGTCCTCAAACGTTAGCAAACAGCTGAAGGAATCAGTGATAATGCCATCTGGTAGACCCACTCACTTGCTCATTAATGCACAGATCATAAGACATAGGAGCAAAAGTTGGACCATTCAATCGTGGCTGATAATTTTCTCAACCCCTTTCTCCCGCCTTCTCCCCGTAACCTTTGATCCCCTTAACAATCAAGAACCTATCCATCTCTGTCTTAAATGTACTCAATGACCTAGCTTCCACAGCCTTCTGTGGCAATGAGTTCCATAGATTCACCACTCTCTGGCTGAAGAAGTTCCTCCCTATCTCTGTAAAGGTCTTCCCTTTACTCTAAGGCTGTGCCCCTGGATCCTAGTCTCTCCTGCTAATGGAAACATCTTCCCAACTCCACTCTATCCAAACACAGGAAAGAAAACAAAGTTACTGGAAAAGCTCAGCAGGTCTGGCAGCATCTGTGAAGGAAAAAAACAGAGTTAATGTTTCAGGTCCGGTGACCCTTCCTCAGAACTCTGTCCGAGCCTTTCATTACCCTGTAAGTTTCAATTAGATCCTCCCTTATCCTTCTGAATACCATCGAGTATAGACCCAGACTCCTCAAATGTTCCTCATATGTGAAGCCTTTCATTCCTGGGATCATTCTGGTGAATGTCCTCTGGACATGCTCCAGGACCAGTACACCCTTCCCAAGATATGGGGCCCTAAATTGCTCACAATGTTCTAAATGCTGTCTGACTGGAACTGTCGGCCGCAGACTATGTCACAGACATAGACGAAGCCAAAGTTCAGGTGGCAGCATCTGCAAACTCAAAAACAAGTGCAATGGATGTCAAAGGGAAATACCTCCAGTCCTTGTAGTCGAATTAAGGAGAACAAATGGAAGATGGGTGTGGATCACACTGGACACTCATCACAGCCACTGAATTCATGACAGCAGCATTCTAGGCCCTACCTCCTTCAACAGCAATTTTTCCTTTCCATGAGTTTGGGAGTTTGGCACCTCTATTGCCCGAGGCACACCAGTCACGATTGACTTGAAGTTTGACTGGACTAGCTATTTAAGCACCATGTCTCCAAAAGCAGAACAAAGATTTAAAATTCTTCTTAGTTCCCACCCCAACTTGCCCATCCCTATCTACAGGAAGTGAATTATAAGATTAGAGGGGAGATGATGGGGCAGCAGGGAGCATCACTGGACCAGAGATCCAGGCTACCACTTTGGATCATGGGTCCAAATCCCCTCCATGACAGCTGGGGGATTTTAAATTCATTTAATGATAAATGTGTAATCATTTTAAAAGAAGCTAGTCTCATTCAACATTTCTCTCTAAGCCACTGCACCAGCAAAAATTACAGAGATTGTATGTCTGTGAAACCATTGTTAATCATCACAAAACCCCACTTGGTTCACTAATGCCCTTTAAGGAAGGAAATCTGCCATCCCTACCTGATCTGGCCTACATGTGACTCCAGCCCCACGGCAATGTAGCTGACTCTTAACTGCCCCTTGAAATGGACCAGCAATCATTCAGTTCAAGACCAATTAGAGATGGGCAAGAAAGGCTGGTTTTCCCAGTGACATCAACATTCCATGAAATAGGTAGGAGAAAATAAAAGATTGAAGAGAAAGAGAAAGCAAAAGTCTGACAGTGACCTGGAGCCTGCTAAGCAGAACAAACTCTACAACAGATTAGTAATAAAAAGGAATAAAAGTAGGTCATTTGACTCCGCGAATTCGTTCTGCCATTCAATAAGATAATAGCTGATTTGATTGCAGCCTCAATTCCACTCTCCTTCACATCTATAATTCCCGACTCCTTTGTTAGTCAAAAACCTAACACAGCCTTAAATATAGTCAATGTTCCAGACTCCACTGCTTTCTGGTGTACAGAATTCAAAAGATTAATGACTGACTGATAGACAAGATTCCTGTAATGGCACTAGGAAAATAATTATTCTTGAATGCTAACAATTCCTTTAGTACAGGATACCACTAATATTTATTAAATCACTTGCTTCAGTTCCTAACTGTTGCTAGCTTAAAGGTGACCAAGCACATAGTTTTTTACTTGCTAAATATTGCATTGATTTAACAATATTCACTGTTTGTCTGGGAAGGGCCAGCTACATGCGGAAGAACCTACATACTATCCGGGACACAGTGCCTATTACAGGACTTGATATCTAGCCGAATACATTGCAGCAACTCACAAGACATGATTCATCAGTACCTCCCTCCCATATGACTACTCCTAACACAAAGCAACTGTAGTTTCAATTCCTCCAAGTTGTACTCTGAATCACACACTTTCCTAACAAGGACGCATTTCCCGGCTCCTACATCATCACTGGGTGAATGCTGGAATTCCCTCCCCAACGCCATGACAGGAGCAGTTCAAATCAAAGGCCCACCATCACTGTCTCAGGACAACTGGAGATTGACAGGATGCAGCAGCCCTGCCAATATTGAGAACAAGAAGTAAGAGATACATGGGCCCAAGCTGTGTTGTCAATCAGCCAGCATAAAACTACAGCTCCAACGAGTAAACTGGATGATAGAAACCAAAGCACTAATCATCAGGTCCAGCCAATCCCCAATCATCAACCCAAACAAACCATTCTGTACAGAATCTGGCATCTCTGAATACAACATCTTCTCTCACCAATCTGCTCATAGTGAAGAATATCTAGAACACAGTAGAGTATGCATAATGACAGTATTTATTCACTTTAACTGGGTACGGTGCAGACAAAATGTATTTAACACCAGTACAGCCTTCTTGTGGCAATTATGGTGCACATGTTCACCCTCTCCATGTGCCTTCTTCATAGGGTTTGACACAGGAAAGAAGTGGTGAAGTCAAGGGTTTTGTATGACAATGGGTTCCTCTGAGGAGG